AAAAAAAAAAAAAAAAAAAAAAAACCTTTCTATAGCAACAGACTAACTCAATAATTCAGAATGGAGAAGTATAGCAATTCCATCTGGCACCTTACTGCTCCAAGACATTCAATAAGGATACTGTTACAGAAAGCCTGAAAATACCTTTTGGATTAATGACATGTTTCCCCATAGCTTTGCCTTAAAATCCTGGCCTGTTGTTCTCACATGTGGCCACTGAAGAGCTATTCAGTTAGCCAAGCCTCATACACATCAGTTCACCAGACCCAAGTCCCAGATGGACGGAGGCCGGGGAAGCAGTTGTTATTTTGCTAGTATCTCCTTTTCCAAAAGACAACAAATCCATCTATATAATAACTATCAAAGGGCAATCTACAGAATGCCCTGTATATCCTTTGCTATTTACTTACAAATGCCTCACCCCTTAGCTGTCTGCACATCCAAAAAGGAAGAACTAAAAAGAACCACAAGAATGCGGTTGGCAGCAGCAATGCTTCTGGAGTAATTTATTGCAGTGAAGGAGAGTTTTTGTGTGCACCGAACAGTGGTTTTGTGTCTAAAGAGTATTGTCAGCAGTGCTCTATTGGGAATTAAGTTGCTAAATTAAATTCAGCACTTCCCATTCCCTGGCATTTTCTTTTCTTGAATACACTGGCACACATCTCATTTCCAGTATCTGATCCAACAATCCCTAACAGGCACTGCTTGGGAGATAATATGAAATTCTTTACATAAGCAAGAAAGATATCTTTGCAATAATTTTCCAAAACACATCCACTGAACAGGAGTGCCTCCATCCCCAGTAACCGAGTTACTGATGTAAGGCAAAGATGGTTTGGATTTACTTCATTGCACAATACTAGTTTCATTTACAAAGAAAAGCAGAGAGATCCCCCTGCATGGAGAGATCTTCTCCTGGCAGAATACCAAACTTGTAAGGAAGTTTTCCCAAAGGATCCACACAGTTAATGCCAAACTAAAGCTATAACGTTTCATTAAAAAATACAGGGCTAAGTGCCTCTAGATTAAGAGCAGGAGGAAAAAAGGTGACTACAAAGAAGAATGTGATAAGAAAAGAGAAATAGAAAAGAGGATAATATAAAAGCAGCAGTCATAGTAAAACAGTCTTCAAACTATATAATTACATTTCATGCTCACACACTACCTACATCTCAATGAAAAAAATCCAAGCATCTCCTACAGACAAAGGGAAGCATCCATACTTTTCAAATCCCTGTTTGCCTTTGTTCTATGCACACTTGTGACCAGGGAAAACAAAAAACAAAACAAAACAAAAAGAACCTTTTTTAAAAATTGCATATAACAGCTTCTCCCTTAAATATTTGCTGACCTGATCTGACCAACGCTGGTGATTCTCTTTGCTGAGTACTTACATAAGGGGCTGTAGTTTGTTCCTATAGGTGAACGAAGGCACTGGCAGGGTGAGAATGAATGATAGCACCAACACGTGTAGCTCCATTGCTGCTGCTCCTTTCCCTTCCCAGGGTGGCTCTGGTGGGTGCCTAGAAAGTTTTACAGCCTTCCCAAGTGAGAGGCTGGCAAGCGTCCCTTCCTCAAAGAAAAATGCTCATGATTACTTCCTGACTTTGCCAGTTTCTCCTTTGCTGACAAAGAACAACACTATGGGAACACACGATGATTCTTGCTGGGGTTCGCTGGAAGAGCAGATTTATCACTCTTGGACTTTTCCTCCTACAGGTAGTTTCCCCTGTATCTTCAATCCAAGGGAAGTGATTACAATGCCAGTGGTCACAGAGCTTTTCCAAAACCCAAACCTGGCTCCTTAGTTTCTCTTATTAGTATTAAAGTATGCTGAGGTGGCTTTTCCTTCTGGCATTTGCTTTCTAATGAGATCCAAAGTGCCGGTGGCTCACAAAATCTGGGTTCAGTCCAGCAGCGAAGTCCCATGTAGGTTTGATTGGTTTGGTGTCCTGATCCACTTCACAAGGCAATATATAACCCAACTCTGAGGATGGGAGCTCCCACAGAGAAGTCCACCTTCCTGAGGACCCACAAAATTCCCAGCCCCTTTCAGCAATGAGCAGAGATTTCCATTAACCCTCACTGCACACTCTAAGTCATCCTCCCTCCATCAATCTCCACCTTTATCCTGGCAGGACTCTCTTACACACACTTGCTTCGAAAGCAGCAGCTCTTCTATCCCCTGCACTACAGACCAACAAAACTTTCTTCTTGCCTTTCCCAGGTCTGCCTTTCATTCACATGCTCTCTTGTTTCTTTCTTGCTGACAGTCAGAAATCCCTCCCACCAGCCGTGCCCAACTGTGAGGAGAGGAAGGGGAGGGGGGAACTCAGCAGAAGAGTAGCAGGAATAATTTCATTTTGCTGATCAAAAGACAATTCTTTTGCAGGACCCACTGCCAAATCCCAAAGCTATGCAATCCCTCCAGCCCCCAAAGACCGGTCTAAAAGATTCACAGAGATCCAAGCTTTCCTGCACATCTAGGACAGATAAGGCAGTTCACAACTCTTCCAAGAGAAATTCTGATGTGTGTGTGTGAAGGCTGACAGGGACAGGCAGGAAGAACACTTTGATGGCTGGAGGGTTAATAGGTATGCAAGTGCCTTGCTCACAAATCCTGTTATTTAGTGCATTGTTTACTGAAGTGCATATGGGGTGTGGGGCAAGATTAAAACTATAATTAAAATAATACATAAACCTGGATCCAAGGGAAAAAAATCATTCCAAAATAACTGGGCAAAGTGGGGGAGAGAAGGGATAAGACTAATTAGTTATTTGCCCTCTCCTAGTTAATTGCCCTCCTGCAAAAGAAAACTAAATGAGCAGTGGGGTTTCATGGGGGTTAGATCTGCGTGGGAGAGGGAAGCTGTGTTTTATTGGGGGCTGACCTCTGCTGGGGTAAGGCTGTTATTTAATTTAATTTTTGTCCTTGTAACTTGTGTCTGGGGTGCCTAGAGGTCCCGTTTTATTATTGTATAAATCCAAATAAACAAACACAGCGGCCTTCTGCTGTCCCTGTTCAGCGTGCTTCTCACTACCTCACATTCTCATTTTCCTCAAACATTGCTCTATGGCCAAGCAGTCTTTCGAACTTTTATTTTAGTTCATACTTGGCAAGTGGAAAACATACCCCACCTGCACTAGACATTTTGGTTTGGCCCGAATATGAAGTTTAACTCAAAGTCACAAGCGCATTTTATCTATTTAGTCTGGAATGGTTTTGAGAGTAGGACTCGCTCAGGAAATGGCGTATTAACACTGACTTGTAGTTCGTTGATTCCCACCAAACGCAGCTCACTAGGGACTAAATTGTGTTGCCATCCAATGACTGTTAACTAGCCAGTGTGAAATAAGTTGGTAGGTCTCAGTACAATTCCTAATTGGACTAGTGTTACTCCCCACCCCATCCAAAAAAAAAAAAAGCATCACAAGTGGCATTAATTGCCCTGTTGTTGTCAGTCTCAGGAGATGGGCTGAGGATTAAATGGGCTAAAAAGACTGAACTCCCTGCTTGCCCCTAGAGATGGTTCCACCAGATGGGGCTGAGGTGCATTGGCTGGTACAAGAGGAGGTGGGGAGAGCAGACAAGAAGTGTGAAAGCGCTGCAGTAACAAACACCCAAGGGAGGAGCTGGCTGACAAAAGCTGCCTTTCAAAAAGGGGCGGGGAATCAATGAGGGAGAGGGAGGTGAACAGACTGGTCCCCAGCAAAGGACTGGCCTTCTGCACGAGAGAGAGAGAGAGAGAGCAATGAGGAGTGCAGGAAGACAGAGGGAGAGTCTGTTCCAGTGAGACTTCCAGCCCCAGCTGGTTCAGCAGTGCATCCAGGAATGTGCGTGACTACAGGGAGGGTGCAAGGATGTTTCGCGCCCTAGGCGAAACTTCCATCTTGCGCCCCCCCCTCCCCGAGCCCTGTGGCAGCTCTCCG